CCCTGTAGGTAAAGCTTACCGTTACATGCACGCTTGATTAGGTGTGTATTTCGTACGTATATGGGCAGGTAAGTAGTCATACTTGGACAATACGTCCATTATCACACACAGCAGTTCTTCACTCAGCCGGGGTGCAATTCTGACCTCATCATATTCACAGCCTTGTATTGTCTCTAAGATGAATGTGAGGCCACGAAAGGATTACTCAAGTATTTCTATTTATTAAAGAAGGATTGTTTTTCTAGTCCCTTTTTTAGTTCAACTCTTATCCCGGAGATATTTCCGAAAGGTTGGTTAACGAAACCGAAAACATCTCACTGTTGATGTAAACTATGCTGTACCCCTCTAACCCCTCCCCTGTACTCAGTATAACCAATAGTAGCGTGACGTACCGGAAACATCAGAAGAACATTGGTTTTGCATGCATTTTTGTACTTTAAATGTTTCTTGTTCGGGTAAGGTTCGTGCAATACTTGTACTTAACATGTCTTAAGGGAGAGGCGAACCACCAGCACCGTGAAACCATGTACTAGGGACAACGCTGTTCACACGTACCTAACAGGTGCGCTTAGGATTACATGAATAATATGTCTTTTCAAACACAAGTTAGATGAGTATCTGATTTACACGTAACATGTCTATGTCTTTATTCTTTATTTACTTTTGGTTATTTGATGTATGTTACAATTGTTACTTAACCTCATTCGTTTTCAGCACTGAATTAAGTACAATTATGCACCGGATAGCTGCTTTAGATTCGTTTTTCTTTGGTATCAATCACAAGTAGGTGTACGTCTATACAAACATTACGTACATCCCTAAACATAGTCGACATTATTTTTTTCCGAATCTTTACAGATATTGTCGGAGTCATGTGAATCGGAGAGGGACATTTCATTAAAAGAAGCGGTCATTTTCTGACGACAACATGGCAACTATGGCACTGAGGAAGCTCCGACGGATCCAGTTCGGGCAACTGCTGGACCCAGGTAAGTGTGATTTTAATGTCTGTATACACTTTGACATAAATATTGGTCTGAACCATACACACATACTGATTATACATTTTTGTATATATTTCAACTTAAAATCTATATCCATGTCATGTTGAAAGTTATAAAACTTTTTTGTTAGGTTTTGCCGATTTAAATAGACATTCTTTAGCACAAATTCAAAGATTACATATGTGTTATCTTGTTTCTGCCTGTTTTTATCACACGGTCGCCGTCTTGACTTGACCGTCATATGTCTAAATGTCTTCAATGCAATGTCAATATGCAATTTCACAATGTCATGAATTGCCTTTCTTCCTACTCACAATGTATGCTAGTACAAACATTCAAAAAATCCGTCTCACAAAAAAATGAGTGGTCTGTTGTCATTTTGTAACACGACAGTATTAAATGGAATTTGTCTTTTGTTGGAAAAAAAAAAACTGTTGTAATATGTATCATGATTACTGTTTTGTGTACTTGCCATCCATTTTGTCATCAACTGTGTATTATTATACTCTGATACCTCATGTTGTACATTTTAATGTATCTGAGGAAAAACAATAAACTTGCAAACTTGTAAAACTTGTAAACATTCATATATTTATTTCCTCCACTTACAAACAAATGATAGAAGTGAGAATTGACGTGCTATTGAGAAGAATGTATCAGTCGGTTAAGCATACCCTGTTTAATAATAGATACTCATTAGACTAAACAGTATACCTGCTAAAAGGATAATTTAGGTGATCAAAATTCAACAAATGATAAGCTCACACTTATTTACTTTTCTGGAAAAAAAATAGATTTTCTATAATACATCGATGTAACTTCACATAAAGGCAAAAACTGCCACAATCTACACCCATCAGTGCGGTATGTTAAATACGTATATATGTAGGACGGTAGTCTGGTGGAAGTGTCAGGTTAAAGAATGTTTTTATTGACAAGATTGAGCACTTGTGTAATCTATGAATTACATTATGTATGTACGTGTACAATGACAGTGTGTTATATAGAATTAATACTATCATAAATGTTATGTAGATTATTTAATTACAGTGTTTTTTGTACAATGTACGGGCTATCCCGATATTTTGTACATTTTATAATGCCCGTGTGTTTTGTAGAATCTACAATGTATAAGCTATCTAATTATGACTTCATCTTATATCATTGTAATTATTTGCGATAATTTTGCCCGTTAGCGACACAAGTCGGTTGACGGGTTGATTACAAATATTTAGTTTTGTGTTAATATTTTCCGACATCGATTCCTTATCTATTAAATATACACTTTGACAAGGAGATGCATGACTCTTTTTGTCTAGAAATGAAAATATGTAAATACTTCTCTTCCTGTACCATTGTGAACTAGCCTGTTTCTCACAATAAATCTGACGGAAGGGGAATAAATCGTACGTGTAACATGTAAATCCCAAAGGGAGACAACTTGTGCCACCATGAACTCCAATAAGATTTGACAGAATTTAGACAAATATAAGAAGAAACTGCTGTAAATGGTACACATTTATAGCTATCACCAATAACTTCTGTTTTAATCACTTTTCCTACACATGTGATGAGTAGATGTTTTTTTAAAACAACCTATCACTTAATAATGCTAAATGTACATACTGAATTGAGCCAGGGATGTGTTGTCCACTACACATCCCTTATTCATATATACTTCATTCACAGAAAAAATATGTTTGTTTAATAACAATAATATTTAATTTCAAACGCTTTGATCACATAACTACCGTGTGATGCAAAGGATACATAAATGTCATGTGTGTGTGTGTGTGTGTGTGTGTGTGTGTGTATTACCTCTGTAATAGCACCATTGTGATGTAATCATCGAAACAACAGACATGGCTACATGGTACTGGAACGTCGCAATGAAGACAATTTACATGAAGTCAAAATGGTGACATTGAAAACTCGACGATGTTTAAGGAAATAAATGTTAAGCAAATATCAACTTACATTCGTGCTATTGTTATAAAATTATGTTGAATTCGTTTCGTTTTCAAAAGCAAACAAATTAAAGACAAGTAATCTGATCAAACAAAACGAAAAACGGAGACGACGGAATTATTTATATTTAATATGTGGCTAATAGGGATTTCACGGCACCTGATCGTGTTCGATAATTGGAGAATCATAGATACTTTATACCAAATTGAAAGTTAATTTCACGGAGCATTAAGCGAGAGGATTGATCTATACAATTGTCAATAAAACTGCGACTTTGTCGTCCTGTACTTGTCTTACCACGCCATTCGCCACGGCCAACGTCGTAGACACGCTCCACATGATGAAGGTAGACATGCGTGGCCTGCAATCCACCAGGGAATGATAAGGTGGCATTGGTAATCAATAAAAGGTTTTATATCTTTGGCACACACATCAGGTGCGGTGTTTCCCAGTACACTTTACCTGATTCACTCCTACAGACACTGATATAAGTACCTGGGTCTTTTTGATAACCATGATAATTCCTTTGAATAATAATTCGATCAAGTATCCAGGGTGTTATACCGGACATGGTTCAATCTACGCTAGTAGACTATGACGCGGTTCCCAACTACTGTAGTAATTCACACGATCTACCAATACTATAGATATATTCACTGAGTCTTAAAATCTTAGTAACATATTTTCTCTAAAATTGAAATATTTGGTTGTTCTTTTGCATCTTAACTATTCAACGGCCCTGTAGTCAACAGCAAGTCATTTCGGGCCAGTCTGACAGGAGACACCATAATAAATGCACCACGTGATACAGAATATGCTTACCCTTCCGGAGTACCTGGTCTCTCCCAAGTTATTTATTAATGTACTTAGCAGTGCTTCTATAGCACTAGAAAACTATGTATTTATTATAAACATAATAGTCCGTATATAATAAAACATAGTGACTCGCTGGTTGATAAAACTTCAGCTGTAGACAAGCTTGTAAATCGGGTCGGCGATATTTTAGTACCTACACAGAAAATGGTTCTAAATTCATATATGCATAGTCATGACTTTACCAATTAACATATGTAATTGAACTTACACAAGTGAAGCATCAACTTTATTATATCTATCATGAGCGTTGCTGTAACGTTAACGCCCAACCACCAACACCCGATTAGTAAATACCTGGGCCTGGAAGACTTTCTCTCTGTAAATTACCGTTATACTACACATGAATACGCCATGATTGTTTGTTATATGATATACTATAGGCTTTAAAGTCCCACTCTTACACAAATATCTATTTAACTGTTAAAGGTAAAAATACGTACACAATTACGATAAGTATTCAATAACTACACACATCATCGCCGGAATATTGTGAATTGTGAGTTATTACGGGATCTTTTTTTTTAAATTTTCCTAAACTTATTGACTATATTCAATTAAACCCCGTGTCTATTATTCCGTGGCTGAGGGAAGGCTATGTAATTCAGATTCCCTGTATACTGTGTAAACCCTACGGAGTGGTACACACCCGGTGATAGATACCTGTTTACCTGTACGTACCTGCTGTCAGCACGTGACCTGCCATCTCACGCTGTGAATAAACTAGTCTTTAATACCCTATGATAAATTTCGCTGTAAACGTAGATAATCCGAAGTTAGATTTACAGTTATTTTACTACTACCAACTCAATTAACACGTTTTATTCTTCATATCGTTTTCGCCCTAGAAGGATTAAGTCCTTCACCTGTTCTGGCACCTGTTGTGATTTAACATAAGCTTGAGATTTAACTGTAGACGTAAAAATAAAAATCTTATCGATAACCATTAACCATATCTGACTCAGTGTCGACAGTGTGGTATGTATATACCCGACTGAGCTGCATATTTCCACCATCTACCCATATCTCTGGATACCGAGGGTTTGGCTAACAGTCAACCCACGTACAATATGTTGGTATCACACTAGTCGCTAGGGGGAGGAGTCTCTATACACTGGAAAACGATAGAGTAAAAAGTCAATGTTATATTACTTGATGAAAAATATGGCTTTACAATCGGTTTTCTCGTTGATTTAAACTGTTAATACACAAAAGCGAGCGCATTCGTCCGGCACAAACACCTTTAATCAATTACATTTAATATTTAATTACGCGCCGGTTATTACTTCTCCACGATAGTACAAATTAACCATCAGCTAAGTCGTAAAAGAAAACAATAACGGCTAAAGGCTTACCTGAGACGGCATTAGGGGTGGGAAGGTATACACATGAAGCATGTAATCCCTATGGGCCTATGCATTCCCACACCTTTCATAATCGCGAGACAACGGTATTAATTAGCTGAAGATTTCGCTGTACGTGTTCACACCAGAGGGCGCAGTTAGGTTACCGACAACGTGGTTTAGCCTCAGTCGTACCAAGCTTCATAGAGCGTCGACCGGACTAATGGAGTCAGGAAACGGCGTGTCACGTCACCAGGAAAGTTTGTGTATCTGGCAACCTACGTGATTGATTTACGGATTATTGTTTCACATGTACATATGACTTCACAGGAATGATATCCCACCAGTATGTTTGATGGTTGTACCGATTTCCGATCCAAAAATATTTTAAGGCTCAGATATATGTTTGTGTAAACAAATTGATGTGTATTTAAGGAATTATACCACCATGATTTACATGTAGACTCGATAGGGATTTATTTGGGACACGGTTTCAGTCGATTTCGTTTTCACCAGCACTCGACCCACGATTTAAGCATGACAGAGCGGGGCATAAGGGCGCCTCGTCCCTGGAATACAAGGCTGTATCATAGCAACCTTAACATCCCTAAGTCGCTAACTCAGTATGACTTTATCTCCTCTTCCAAGAAGAGTTCCTCAATGGACGCTCTCCATCGGGTAAAAACTACATTTCCCGCACAACGACAACGACGAGAACGACACCGGAAGGAAGTGATAAAGAGGGATGAAGGGGACCGACTTCCGCTCATTTTACCAAAACTCGAACCGGATATAGATATAGATCTGGATGTGACAGTGAGAGATGCAAGTGCAAAGGTTAACGAAGTGTCCATGTCGGATAAAAGTGAGGACGAGCGTATGAGTTACGACGAGGAGACTGCTAACGATGCTGACAGCGAGGCATCGGATGATTATTTTAACTTCGACGACGACACTGCCACTGCTCGATCAAAACTGGAAAAAATAGGGGAGTTCGAAATGGAGCATAACTGGTTGTTACATGAAGATTTACAACGGAAACGTGACGAGTTTAACTCACAATCAAAAAAGTTGCGTGTTTCTCTTCCAGAGGAGGATCCGGTGGAAATGATGGAAAACCGGATGGATGAGGTTCGCTCAATGATGAGGCCGAAGGCAGAGTTGGGCCACTTCCTGGATAAAATTGACCCAGAGCAAAGAGAGAAAATCATGGTGAGTAACTCTTTTTTTCGTAGAAGAAGCTTATTTTACAGATATTACTTAGTCAGATATTGTATTGGGCCCACTACTTTATTTTTCCTAGAAGAGGATTTTGTATATAAGAGCATATATATATCTTTCATCGGAACCAAACTTTTAGTTTAAACCCGGATGTATGATATCACACAGCTATCTTCAGACCGTAGAAAACATCATTTCATGCTTACATCATTTATGATAAATAAACTAAAAGCATTCATGATCTATATATATATATATTGAATGGTTAAAGTGCGTTTTTGAATTAGGGAGGCAGGTGGTGACTGCGCGTAGTTTGTCCAGATTTGTTATCAGCCCGAAGTGCCTCTTTCTGGTTTGCTAGGACCATGATCTCATGTATAATGTATATACTTAAAATGATCAGCACTTTAAAGAAGGTAAATTCTTATATCTCAATTAGCATGTTTTAATATTTAAAAGGTGTTTTAAAATCCAGCTAACAATTGAATATGTTAAACGATAGGAGCTGTTTACCATGGTAGGATCTTGAAATGGAGTGATTCAGCTATTTCACGTTTTTAATCATTAAATAGTTTATGGATATATTTATGTACTTATTTCTAACGTTGTTTATATTGAAATGCTATTTTATACATTAAACTACGGCAGACATGTAACCACTACCCTAAGTAATCATTATACATGACCCCCTTACGACAGAAAATAACCTATCATAATACAAAGGGCATTGCTTTTAAATAGATTATTTGATTTGTTTGATTAAGTATTCTGTAAACCTATGGTATGATACATAGCGACAAGATGTTTGGGGTTTTTAATTGGTTCGAGGAGAATTATTTTCACAAGAGATAGTACAGAATTATACTGAAAATCCTGAAGACTTTATATGTGTCTCTATATCTCGACACGAATAAATGTAGTACACTGTATATCAAGATACTCCCAGACATTGCATGTGTCACTATATCTCGACACGAGTAAATGTAGTACACTGTATATCAAGGTACTCCCAGACATTCTATGTGTCACTATATCTCGATACGAGTAAATGTAGTACACTTTATATCAAGGTACTCCCAGACATTGTATGTGTCACTATATCTCGACACGAGTAAATGTAGTACACTGTATATCATGATACTCCCAGACATTGCATGTGTCACTTTATCTCGACAAGAGTAAATGTAGTACACTTTATATCAAGGTACTCCCAGACATTGTATGTGTCTCTATATCTTGACACGAGTAATTGTAGTACACTTTATATCATGGTACTCCCAGACATTGCATGTGTCACTATATCTCGACACGAGTAAATGTAGTACACTTTATATCAAGGTACTCCCAGACATTGCATGTGTCACTATATCTCGACACAAGTATATGTAGTACACTTTATATCAAGGTTCTCCCAGACATTGTATGTGTCACTATATCTCGACACGAGTAAATGTAGTATACTTTATATCAAGGTACTCCCAGACATTGTATGTGTCACTATATATCGACACGAGTAAATGTAGTACATTCTATATCAAGATACTCCCAGACATTGCATGTGTCACTATATTTCGACCAGAGTAAATGTAGCACACTTTATATCAAGGTACTCCCAGAGTCACTATATCTCGACACGAGTAAATGTAGTCCACTTTATATCAAGGTACTCCCAGAGTCACTATATCTCGACACGAGTAAATGTAGTCCACTTTATATCAAGGTACTCCCAGAGTCACTATATCTCGACACGAGTAAATGTATTACACTTTATATCAAGGTACTCCCAAACATTGTATGTGTCACTATATCTTGATACGAGTAATTGTAGTACCCCTTATATCAAGGTACTCCCAGACATTGCATGTTTCTCTATATATCGATAAGAGTAATTGTAGTATACTGTATATCAAGGTACTCCCAGACATTGTATGTGTTTCTATATCTCGAAACGAGTAAATGTAGTACACTTTATATCAAGGTAGTCCCAGACATTGTATGTGTCACTATACTATATCTCGATACGAGTAAATGTAGTACACTGTATATCAAGGTACTTCCAGACATTGTATGTGTCACTATATATCGACACGAGTAAATGTAGTACATTTTATGTCAAGGTAATCCCAGACATTGTATGTGTCACTATACTATATCTCGATACGAGTAAATGTAGTACACTCTATATCAAGGTACTCCCGGACATTGTATGTGTCCAGACTTTGTATGTTTCACTATATCGCGACAAGAGTAAATGTAGTACACTCTATATCATGGTCCTCCCAGACATTGCATGTGTCTATATACCTCGACACAAGTATATGTAGTACACTTTATATCAAGGTAGTCCCAGACATTGTATGTGTCACTATACTATATCTCGATACGAGTAAATGTAGCACACTGTATATCACGGAACTCCCAGACATTGTATGTGTCACTATACTATATCTCGATACGAGTAAATGTAGTACACTCTATATCACGGTATCTCGACACGAGTAAATGTAGTATACTGTATACCAAGGTACTCCCAGACATGGTATGGGTCACTATATCTCGACACGAGTAAATGTATTACACTTTATATCATGGTGCTCTGTGTCACTATATCTCGATACGAATAAATGTAGTACACTATATATCAAGGTACTCCCTGACATTGTATGTGTCTCTATATTTCGACACGAGAAAATGTAGTATACTGTATACCAAGGTACTCCCAGACATGGTATGGGTCACTATATCTCGACACGAGTAAATGTAGTCCACTTTATATCAAGGTACTCCCAGAGTCACTATATCTCGACACGAGTAAAGGTAGTACACTGTATATCATGGTTCTCCCAGGCATTGTATGTGTCACTATATCTCGATACGAGGAAATGTAGCACACTGTATATCACGGAACTCCCAGACATTGTATGTGTCACTATATGTCGATACGAGTAAATGTAGCACACTGTATATCACGGTACTCCCAGACATTGTATTTTTCTCTATATCTCGACAAGAGTAAATGTATTACACTTTATATCATGGTGCTCTGTGTCACTATATCTCGATACGAATAAATGTAGTACACTATATATCAAGGCACTCCCTGACATTGTATGTGTCTCTATATCTCGACAAGAGTAAATGTAGCACACTGTATATCACGGAACTCCCAGACATTGTATGTGTCACTATACTATATCTCGATACGAGTAAATGTAGCACACTGTATATCACGGAACTCCCAGACATTGTATGTGTCACTATATTCTCGACAAGAGTAAATGTAGCACACTGTATATCCCGGTACTCCCAAACATTGTATGCTTCACTATATCTCAACAAGAGTAAATTTAGTACACTCTATATCACGGTATTCCCAGACATTGTATGTGTCTCTATATCTCGATACGAGTAGTTGTAGTACGCTTTATAGCAAGGTACTACTTTGCATTGTATGTGTCACTATATCTCGATACGATTAAATGTAGCCCACTTTATATAAAGGTACTCCCAGACATTGTGTGTGTCACTATATCTCGACACGAGTAAAGGTAGTACACTGTATATCATGGTTCTCCCAGGCATTGTATGTGTCACTATATCTCTACACGAGTAAATGTAGTACACTTTATATCATGGGACTCCCAGACATTTTATGTGTCTCTACATCTCGATACGAGTAGTTGTAGTACGCTTTATAGCAAGGCACTACCTGGCATTGTATGTGTCACTATATCTCGATACGAGTAAATATATCTCGATACGAGTAAATGTAGTACACTTTATATCAAGGAACTCCCAGACATTGCATGTTTCTCTATATCTCGATACGAGTAATTGTAGTATACTGTATATCAAGGTACTCCCAGACATTGTATGTGTCTCTATATCTCGACACGAATAAATGTAGTACACTGTCTATCAAGATACTCCCAGACATTGCATGTGTCGCTATATTTCGACCAGAGTAAATGTAGCACACTTTATATCAAGGTCCTCCCAGACATTGTATGTGTCACTATATTATATCAAGGTACTCCCAGACATTGTATGTGTCGCTATATCTCGACACGAGTAATTGTAGTACACTTTATATCATGGTACTCCCAGACATTGTATGTGTCTCTATATCTCGACAAGAGTAAATGTAGAGCACTTTATATCACGGTACTCCCAGACATTGTATTTTTCTCTATATCTCGACAAGAGTAAATGTAGTACAATTTATATCATGGTACTCCCAGACATTTTATGTGTCTCTATATCTCGATACGCGTAGTTGTAGTACGCTTTATAGCAAGGCACTACCTGGCATTGTATGTGTCACTATATCTCTACACGAGTAAATGTAGTACACTTTATATCAAGGAACTCCCAGACATTGCATGTTTCTCTATATCTCGATACGAGTAATTGTAGTATACTGTATATCAAGGTACTCCCAGACATTGTGTGTGTCACTATATCTCGACACGAGTAATTGTAGTACACTTTATATCAAGGAACTCCCAGACATTGTATGTGTCACTATATATCGACACGAGTAAATGTAGTACATTTTATGTCAAGGTAATCCCAGACATTGTATGTGTCACTATACTATATCTCGATACGAGTAAATGTAGCACACTGTATATCACGGAACTCCCAGACATTGTATGTGTCACTAATTCTCGATAAGAGTAAATGTAGCACACTGTATATCACGGTACTCCCAGACCTTGTATGTGTCACTATATCTCGACAAGAGTAAATGTATTACACTTTATATCATGGTGCTCTGTGTCACTATATCTCGATACGAATAAATGTAGTACACTAGATATCAAGGTACTCCCTGACATTGTATGTGTCTCTATATCTCGATACGATGGTACTCCCAGACATTTTATGTGTCTCTATATCTCGATACGAGTAGTTGTAGTACGCTTTATAGCAAGGTACTACCTGGCATTGTATGTGTCACTATATCTCGACACGAGTAAATGTAGTAC